AAGTTTCAGTTATTAGGTGTAATGTATAATAACAAATTCACTCTCGTGAACATTCCACATTTTGTAAATCATCATTGAGCTGATAAGCGTTATAAAAGATTCTTGCTGAAATCCAAATTTTAAGAGGAAAACTCTGAACTGTAGGTTGCATGTCCGAGGAAACATTACTAAGAGATTAACAACATTACTAAGGAATTGTCCGAGGAAACATTACTAAGAGATTAATGCTACATTTTTTCGGTGAAATTGCTTATAAAATCAAGAAGTCAATTTAATTTGACCCAAATTACCAGATTCTGCTCATTATTGACCAACCGTAAATCACAGAAAAACCTGCCTTGAAAATTGTTTTGAAAGATCCAAACAGGTCTTATTTTGCACCCAACGATTAAAGAAACATCGGCGCATTGGTTGCGGGGAGGATGTGGCTCAATGGGCGGCGGAGGCCGACGGAGGCTGGTGCTGGAGTCTCTGGCGACCCGAATTCGGCGACTTGCGCTTCCTCGAACGACCTCGCGTGCGACGCAGCCCCCGCTCCTCGGCCGCCGCTTCCCCACTCCTCCTCTGCACCTCCCCCGCTTCTCCTCCGCCCCTCCCCCTCTCCGCTCTCGCCCCGCTCCCGCCCCATGGGGATGAGCCCAGCGGTCGACTTGCCGCACGCCGCACGCGCGTCTGACTCACAACCCGTTTTCCGCCTCCGACGGAGATTCGTCTCCCGGAGGGTCTCGTTCCCGTGGCTCCTGGAATATAAGTTTGTGAACGGCTCCACGAGGAATTTTCGCATTGCCCCACATTCAAATATAGTAGGCAGGCCTGTGATTGATTTCAATTGAGCAAATTACCGTTGAATAACTATATGTCACTAATTGATTTGTTAATTTCATATTTCATGCACTTTCGTAACTTATCAACGCCCAATTTTACGCTTCTGTACAGGTGACCAACATATGTAATAATCAGTTAGATATGAAATTTACGTGCGCGAGAGTCAATACTAGTGACTGGGTTCTGACTGTGATTCGACGCCCGAACGATGAACATAATAATTGTGGGAGATGAGGTAGGGTGCAGTTGGATAACAAAAGTTTTCGCAGCTCTGCTAGGTCACGGCGTGTCTCAGTCAGTGAAGACTACTACCTCCAGCCGGGGAAGTCTACGAGTCCATTATCTCACTCCGTATATGACTTTTTTAATAACTTACTTTGGAATAACTGTTTGAGCAAACATACTTGTATATAGTCATATAATGTTTTCCTTTTCCGTTTTGATACTGTACTGGAAGTTGGTAGTGTGTAATGTTGTCAGGATATTTCTCCATGAAAAGGTTACTCAGTGCTACAAATCACTCATTTCATCACAGTATAAAACTACCCTTCTTTAAAATTATCTCCCCAGAATTTTGATTCTCAGATCTCGGCTTCGTGTCTAGAGAGCATTAAAGTCTCCTTATTTTACATTTTTTACTAATGGTCAGAATCGTGACGCCACGCGCTTTCCGCACGATCTTAAAAGTCCCATCTCTGCTTCACACGCGTTGAGTTCCCCTGAGACATGTCTAACATATGACTACAGAGAAATCGCCAAAAAGTTCGTTATTACATGTTCCCTACCGCTCTCTACAAACTTTCAATAATTCTCATTTAGCAGTATTTTCAATGGAAAGCTTTTCAGAACTTAAAATTTTTTTTCATGACTTATCTTGAAAATATCATTTGAGATATGTGAAAATCATCCGTTTGGGTGTACTGTATCGTGGTGTACTTTTTCTGAGTGATATGATCGCACTCAGTGCTAAAAAAATTCGAAATTTTGCGAATAAATAAGTGACATCATTGCAGTGGATCTCGGATATCTAGAATATCGATAACCTGACTGTCATGCCACATCTTCCTGCGAGAATAACCCAACTCAAAGTACCAAAAAACAGCTTCACTGAAATTTCTCCACGAGCTACCTAGAAAGGCATAGTCAGTACTCGGTGGATCGTGAGCGTACGCGTGGCCAACCACTCTACGTTCTCCACAATTGCTTGTTAAACCTACAAAACCTCAAAACACCAAAATGCAAGTATTGTACCTCTTACAACACACAGAGACCACCAATTGAAAGTAAACTCTTTGTCAGGATCAGAAAGCGAGCAGTGGGCCACCTAGTGGCGAGATTACAAAACGAGCATTACAGGACGCTGCCATCATACGTCATCTGTTTCCGTCATACTTCTTATGTTTGGGTTCGCTGCGCGGACACGTCTTGCGATGTCACGTGACGATGTTAATATTTTTGTGGTTGCGCGTGACTGTGTCACAGTCCGGGCAGGTTCTTACACGGCAGGATATGTTTCGGCGTGGAGCGGTTGCAGTGGGCCAATGGGCCGGCGGGGATTGAAGTCACCACCGCTTGCACGTGCAGCCTCGCGTGACAGGTGCCGACTGCAGCCTCAGCTCCGATGACGCGCGACGACGAGACACAGTGGGCCAGAATATGCGCGGAAAAGATTTTAATTGGATTGAATTAAGCAGTAACATTTACTAAGAATTGTTCAAAGAAATAGTCACTCTAAATTGAAATTAAACACAAGGCTTGTGTTTTGGAACCAGTTTCTCATTGTGCATCGGACAAAATTTGCATTTTAACACAATAGTATGTCATTTACCATACCATACAAGGAGTAATGAACATTTTCTCTGACAACGATCAACTGTTCCAAACTTCTTTTATATCTTAAATTCGGAACAAAATTCAGAATCAGTGATTCAAACTTTTAGCTCTCATAAAATGCAAGAAACGTCATTGTAGACATCATTTAATGGACAAAACATACGCATTGTACTCTGTACAGTTAATATCTTCCGTAATGATATCTTCTTACCATGAAACAGTTGTATTTTCAACTGTATAAAGCAAAAGTAGCCTCAACCAGAAAACTACCTTGGGTATTGTGTTTGATGTCCAATTGACGAGCGATTTCTCTACATTTCCGCTTGTTTTCTAGTTTTACGTATCAATACATTACTAAGTAGCTTCCCCATCATGCTACCAAATATTGTTGAAACTCTGCGTATCTTCTATGTTAAAAGGCAGCCGGAAATAGTTAAATCCTATTGTGAATTGTAAAGCTGATTGAATTATTTTTCCTTCCTAATTATTTTTTTTCGTGATTTCATCACTACGTCGAGATACGTCATTTTGGAAATAAGGCAGTCTGTCAGAGCCACTTTGAACAAAAGGATCCCCTTTGAATGCATCGAAGCTCATTGCATTGTTGCCCACTATGCTGTGTGACCCGATGTGACCCACTGTGATGTGTGACCCATTGTGGCCCACTGTGCTGTGTGACCCATTGTGGCCCACTGCGCTGCGTCTCGATGTGGCCCACTATGATGCGACTCGATGTGGCCCACTGTGCTGCGACTCGATGTGGCCCACTGTGCAGTGAGACCCCTTGTGGCCCACTGTGCTGTGTCTCGATCTGGCCCACTGCGCCGTGCTGCCGCATCGTCCCGCGGGATGAGGCAGCAGTCGCGAGCGGAGCGGTGTCTGTCGCGCGATGTTCGCTTGCGGGCCTCAGCCAAAGGCTCCGCTTGTCCCCGCGCGCCCCACATCCTTTGAGTGCAGCTGGCCACGCGGCAGTGCACCGATTCGTGTCAAGTGCAGAGAGCGCTGTTGTGCCTCTAGGTCGATTGCTCCGCCTGGCGTTTTTCATGCGACGTTTGATGACGTGCCATTCGAACTTCGCCTGCAAATGTGCTTTTTGCGAAATGGATTTAAAATAATAAAATTCGTAAATGTCAAGTTTATCGTGAAGTATGCCGTTCGAAAAGACGGACTTACAGATCGATCTTTTTCAATCTCGCATCTTGGTTTCAAATTGAATGTTATGTGATAATGAACCCAATTTATTCATGTCAGGTGACATTGAGAATACGAAGTTTATTGATCACGGAGTTTTCTTATATTTTCACAGTTTCTATCTGGAATATTGAAGCTTATTTTTATATCATTTGATTTACTGAACACATCTAGTATGACGTTCATAAGAATACAAGTCACTTGTTCCTCATTATGTCAATTTACCACCTGTATGGCGGTTCCTAGAATTCGATTTTGGCGTTCCTCATGAGTTAGCCAATTCCTCGGAAGAGGTGACCTTCTAGAACACAAAGATTTGGGAGCATTTGGAATTTGTTTACTCATTTTCATCTGGAGTGAAATAAGCGGATTTGCTTATGCGAAATAAGCTTTGGAAATAAGCGGATTTTTAGTTCACTTCGTATCGGTTGACCCAATACGTCATCTGGAATGACTTGTGATTTTGAAGCTCCGAAATGCGACCGACTTCCTTTCACCGAATTTGTTGCACTGTGTCAATTTTGTGTTCAACAGCTGTTAATATGGAGGTCATTCCGACACTTGACTGAAGAATTTAGGTTTCAAATTATACAAATGTAGATGTAGTGATATGCATATATGAAGTGTTTGTAAAACATACACCAACTGTCACCTTTTGATGTTAGTCGCCACATTTCAAAATCAGTCAAAACACTATATTATTACAGGAACGAAACATTTTTCTGTAGTATAGAGTCAAGGTAAACAACGAATTGCGATATTACCGTAAAGTATTGAGAAATATACCAGTTCGAAAACCAAATGTAAAAGTAACAGTTAAGTTTGATTAAATACTCAACACTCCACAATTTTTAATTAACTGTTATTTAACATTGTAAGATAGTTTGAATGAAATACATCTGCTTCTTCGAAATTTATAAATATCCGTGCTGATATGTTCTAATTTTAATTCAGAAATATGGGCTAACCAATGTCTAATCAGTAACTGCTCTGTACCAAACACGCTGCAAACTCGACTTTCCCTTAACAGTTTTTGTGTTACCCTACAATCACCATTACATTCTACCGGCATTTACGTTAGTCACGAATGTTGTTGTTAGTAACATCTTGAACTGCTCCATCTAACAGTTCCTTTATTCTCTGCTCCGCAGGTCGCGGCAAGATGAAGAAGATGATGAACATGATGATGATGGGCGTGGCGATGAAGCTAGCCGGCCTCATCCCTCTGGCCATCGCCGGCCTCTTCGTGCTGGCGGGCAAGGCCTTCATCGTGAGCAAGATCGCGCTCGTGCTGGCGCTCATCATCGCCCTCAAGAAGATCCTCTCGCAGAAGCAGGGCGGCGGCCACGAGATGAACCACGGCGGCTGGCAGGGTGGCGGCGGCGGCGGCGGCTGGGACCGCCGGTCCTTCGACGCCCACGACATGGCCTTCCGCGGGCAGAAGCCCGTCGCCGCATAGGCGGCCACGCCCCCTGCGAGGCGCTGAACCCACACACCGGCTGGTTCGTACCAGCCACCCGCTCACTGCAACCGGCGAGCCGGACTTTTTTTTTTTTCTGGTTCTGACTCGCGTCATCGCCCCGCCCTACCCAACCCTGCTCAGGACTTGAGACACCGAACCTCACGCGCGCCCTCTGGACCATGGACACCGAGCTCAGCTGTTTTTTTCCTTTTAGTTGTGACTCGTTTTTCCCGCCCCCTCTCAAACTGCTCATGACAACGTACTGCCACGCCGCCTGAACATGGAAGCTCCACATACTCTATGTTGGAAGCTGGACTTTTCTTCTTTTGCTCTCATTTTTACTATCTGCAATAACCTTTCTCGCGAGTTCACGTACTCCCTCTGAACCCACAAGCCAGCCCACCAAGGCAGATCCATTAATCCGATGATGCAACCCAAACATCTCCTTCTCCATGGTTTTCTCTCCTTTCTGGATCCTTCAATTTCTTTCACGACTTGCCGTAGCCATGATCACAGTCCTTAAACTTAAACGTGAGTTTTCGACTTGCTACTGACTCATTCTTTTACCAGAGCTCTAGCATTTGCCTCTGAACTCTACGCCCTACTCATGAGCATTAATTGCATGCTGCGATCCGAACATAATTTTTCCTGCTTGCTAATGACTTCAGAGCACTCGCATCTCTCTTTGGTCTTCTGCACATGACCCTGAACCCCAGTCTGTTCCATAAACTTAGGCAGACACTCATTCTACGCTGTAAGATGACGCTTACCATTGACTTATTTTTGCCAGACCTTCAGTACCATTGGAGATTCAGACATTTGAACTCATGTTTAAAATGTTTGTGTTTTTGTATACTCACTACTTTTTCGAGGTTCCAAGCCGGACATTATTTACTTATTTAACATTTTCTACTTGCTTTTGTCTCGTTATTTTTTTCTTACCAGAGCTCTAGCAATTGTAGATAAGCATTTGGAATGCTTAACTCCGCCTTTCCCGCCACTGAACTATCGTTCAAATATTATAATGTAAACCGACTGTTACCCATAACTATAGACATTGATACCACCGCAACACTCCACCAATACCTACGACGAAAATTGCTTACAGCTTTTGAGATACGTTTAACCAACGCTCTTCGCAATTATTCTGACATTTGCAATCAAGTATTTGCACCCACAGCTGTTTTTTCGAAACTCCACCCTTTAACATTCGAGTCATATCTAAGAATACCTCCTTCCCTCGATGCACTCAGGGACTCGTATTCCTCTGACGTATGCTCGCAATTCCCGCATTCCCAAGAATGTAACGATGACAATTCTCACATTCCCAAGAAACCGCTCTCACATCTCTCCCCGAGAAGCGACTTCCCCCCCCCCCTCGCGCGCAACTGCTACCTTAGCACCCAGCCGATCCGCCCGGGTCACGCTCAATCTCTTGCCGCCCCGTCTTCGATTTTGGCAGAAGACGCGCGGCCAAGAGAAGACCCGCCTGCACCCTGCAAAAGCGCACGAAGAAGGAACATGAGTGCTTCTTTTCAAGTTCAGTTTCTTCATTGCCTTTGAAGATTCATCCCCTATTTTTTTTTTTGAAACTAAGAGTTACGTACAGTTTTAATGTTAAACCAATGATTATGTAATTGTTTGCTTATTCTAGCATTCTTTTTATTTATTTTTGTTTAAGTCTGGCTGTGATGCCTGAGTGTAAATACTGTCTGAATGAAACTGTATTTATTTGTGTGTGTACTATTTAGTACAATAAAACCATTTAACACAATTTGGTGTTATTCAAATGAAAGATCCCTTCTTACCCACAACCTCAATTACCGCAAACACATCTAACAATCAGTTACCATCTTCTTGTATTTGTTTATCCTTTGTAAAATACCCTGCTTAGATTTCACACAAAGGAAAACTCAATCAAACATACCATTTAATCTATCATTGTAGAATCAGCAAATCGTATTAATGGTCGTCACTATTTCCAAGAAATGGAAAAAAGTATTTCAAAGCATTACCTTACGTTCGTTATCTTCTCCTTTAACAGAGAATCACGCCAGATTTATATTATATCTTTGATTCTAGAAATAAAAATATAGAATCTCCTTGGATTAAAACTGGTTATGAAAAAGCCTAGTCTTAAACAGAAAAAAGATATTTTCACAATATATGTTCTTTCGAATATTTTACTGCCTTTCGAAATGACCCACAATTTTAACGGCCGTTTTGTAGAGTGCAACATAGTATTACACGATATTTCATTAGCTTCTTGAACTTGCAGACGTGGTAGAAACAATGTTCGAGTGTAAAAGGTTACAAGTGAGAAAACTCGACTGAATGAGAAAATATCAGTGCTCTCATAGGACAAAATGAAAACTTGCTATCAAGTGCTGTAAAATCCACAACAAGAAAAATACTAATCTTTACAGTGAGCTGGAACAACTGCTATCAGAAATATAACTCGCATACTCTATCACTAATACAACATTCTCTTTCAAGATGTTATTGAAAAATGCTCAAAAGCTTTTTAAGCATCATGTGGCGGATCAAACATCGCTATCCGAAGCTGATATTGACAAATATTGACTGTGACATCTATTTCTTGGTTACAAAGGTTATGCAAAAATAATTTAAAAATTATAGTGTTCTAAAAAGAGTTTTAGCATGAATGAGATACAATACTCTCGAAAATATTTTAAGATACGAGAATAAATAGGGAGTTTATGAAAAATGTAATACTTTTATATAAGAAACCTAAACAGGTAATGGTAGCGACCGAAGTGTTGATTAAGTACTTGAGCTTCTTGGAAAGTAAAAATGCTTGTCCTTGTTTGAAAAAACCTGGCCAAAGACTTTGTGGTAGTATATTTTTATTCCAGTCCTGTTAACTTCCCAATTTCTCATAGAGAACCACAAACACAACAAAAAATATGAAAAATCGTAAAATCATTGTTCATCATTCTTCATTAAATGAATTTGAGTGAAATTATTCTTTCTCATAGATGAAAATTAATATGATAATACCGATTAATGAAATACTTGAGCCTAATGAAGTTAAAATATGTCATGATGTATAAGCATCTGGATAGTCAGAATATCGTCGAGGTATTCCTGCTAACCCACGAAAATGTTGTGGGAAATTTGTTAGATTTACTCCAATAAATATAACTATAAATTGTATTTTTAATCATTTAGGATTTATTGTTAATCCTGTAAATAAAGTATATCAGTGAATAAATCCAGCTATAATGGCAAATACTGCCCCTATTGATAGAACATGCATCAGTTAGTTGTGGCTCAGTGCCAAGTACAAGTACAAGCCGAGGTAGTTCGCCCGTCGTCACGGATTCAAGCGGAACCGTTGTGTTTCCCTTTGCCGCCGCCGTCCGAGCGCTAGTTGCCAGCCGTTCTCGCGATCCCCATTCAGACTTAGAGGTCTGAGATAATGTCTGCACCTCTCCAGTTCTTTCGCAATAATACGCGGCATTTAACTAGGATGTATAGGATGTTTGTAGTTCATCTGAAGTATTACCATTGTGTTATAAGAGTAGCTTTGTTGGGAGGAATAGTGGAAATGAGTGCTATCAAATTAACCGTTAAGATAAGAGAAAGAAACAGGACACCGCGCGATCCCTAAAAACATCTCTTTTTATTTTGAATGATGATATTAAATGTATTTACAGTAGATCATAATGCACAGATTTCACATAATGAAAAGTAATGCAATTGAATAACGATAGAAGAACCAGGCGAATGTTCTTTCCGCCTTATTGTTTTGTTGAAAATATATTAAATTTCAACTTTTTCCTTCGGCAGAAAAAGTTAAAATATAGAATTCATGTCCTTATTGACGAAACAATTATCTGTCCATAGCAAAAAAAATCATTGAAAGACTGATCAGAACCTCTTAAATAATACCTAAACACAGTTCACACATCAAATCAAATAAATTAAATACCTAGCAATCAATATTTTAAAATTCAAGAGATAGAGATTATAGATTTCCCAGAAAAACTGTCCGTAGATCTAACGTACCACATTTGCAGTGAGATAACACTATTTGTATCAGATGTAAAAAGGCAATTCAATTGTATAAATTAAGTGCTATTATTTCTGTGAAAATTTTTCTTTGTGAACAAATGTATTAATTTCTTTTGTAAATAAAAAAAACAATTTAACTATTTCTGGAGTGTTTATATGAAAATTGTGGCATAGACAAAAACATCAAACTCTCCTTTGAGAGCTAATTGCGGTTCAGCCATTCCAAATATCGAAGGTGTTTAATAGACAAAATATGCTTAAAATTAATGTCTCAAGACCTTCTTTTGGAAGTTATGTTTTTCCGTCCCCAGAAACATAAAAACATAGGTTAAACAATAAAACCTGCTACAATTATGTTATTAATAAGGAAAGTAATGTGTTATCATAAAAGGTTACAATTGAACTTATTTCGTTTATATTAAGTCAATAATCACCTAATTTAATTTTAGTGTTTTTATAATCATACTGGTCACCAATAAGAACTCTATATATATTTTTAGTTAAAACTATGGTAATTAATTGCACCATCTATTTTAAACGGAACTTGACCGAAGTCGCCTTAGCTATCTCGACAGTGACGAAAATTCTGCCCCTCTGGACAAAAATGGCATTTAATATTTGCAGTTAGCTCTTGATTATTAGATATGGGAAATTTCAGTTTTTACTAATTTTTACAAAATTTAACACCACGGTGTACTGTTGGATCATTAGACCACAACAGTGATAGCTTATGGTACCTCTACTACTTAGTGTAACTTCATTGCTGCATGGCAAGTGCAGAAGAAAAAGACGCACTGTACAATACGTCAACATCCCTTCAGCAATTTGGCTTCTCGAGCACTGTCTCACTAAGACATTGATGAAGAATGTGGAAGGGAGCAAGTAAATAATCCTTTATTTCACAAAGTAAACACAATTTCCAACATTCTCATCTGCATTCCTGTAAAGCTATTAAAGGA